ATCGGTTAGGACGTTGCCGGCCGCACTAAATTCTTGTTCCACGGCAACTGTTGATATCGGCATTGCTAGCACTTGCTTAGCCATCTTTGATAAAATCGGGAACGTTCTTTCATTTTCCTTCCACCACTTAAGAACGTCAAAGTCATCCCCAACTTCATAATCAACATTCAATGTTAGATACAAAGAAAGCTCGTTAACTGAGCTTTGTTCAGTAGCGGGAGTTGCTCTACTTTTTTTCAACAGAGAACCAAATGCAGATTTTAAAAGTGATTTTCCTTTAGATGAAGAAGATGTTCGCGGCATGGGAGGGGGTGCATTACCATATTGTGCATGAAATTCATTATACAATTGATGAAATAAATTACTAACCTCGTTGTATTCTTGTTTAGGGTCGATGAGATTATCATCGAACTCTTGAGTTGGAAAAAAAAGAAGCATAATAGTAATCTATACAAGTTCCCAAGTAAGCAAATTTATAACGAGGATCAAGAACAAATGCAATATCATATATATGCGGAATATGTGAATAATATTTTAAAAACTTTTGTTTCATGAAATCACAAAAATAATTAACGTAAGCGGCATCAGAAAATCCACAAAAAGCGCCGGCGAGATTAACAGCTTCAACTAAAAATTCGTTTGCGGTAGGTTTATAAACATGACTAAAAGTTTGAGTTGCGTTATTAAAATATACCAAAACATTAACAATTTTTTCACAAGTGTCGATGTCAGCCGGGTTTATAATATAGTTACAAGATTGTCTTAAAAAAGCAGGAAAATGATCTTTATATCTAATAAGTACTTTAATTAAGTTATAAGTACTATTCCAACGAATAGACAAATCTTCAGGAAAAGCACAATAATTGACACGTCTATCCTTCAAATATTGCCGCCATTGCATTTTTTAGTGGAGTGTTAGCCCAAATCAATTTAATTCCCCCCTTCACTACCTCCAAAGCATTTCCTAATGCCGCTAACCCATCTTGTACACACAAATTTAGAATATGACATGCACAACGTTGATGAAAAAACTTACCCATCAATGTAGAAGCACCACACAATTCATGCAATCTAGGTATAGCACCAGTATTATTAGTAGTATTATTAAAACCTACAACAAACACCTTATCAATCAAATTATACTCAATTAAAATACGCTCAATGAGAATATAAATTTTATCAGCAGTGTGACGATCATTGAATTCACGAAAAGCAAGAACACGTTTATGCATATTCCAATCATCATCAATATAATGTGCAGTAAGAACCAAATAATATAAATGATGATAAGTATCCTCCCATATATCGCTACAAATACTAACACGTCCATCAAAATTTGCGAAAAATGTTTGTAATTTTTCTTTTTCCGAGTTATATTGCCTTATAACTTTTTTTTTAATCGTTTTGCGACTATAATTTCTAAATTGAGGATTTAAAGTATCTTGAGCATAATCTCTTAAAGCAAGACTTTCGGAAAAAATATAGGGTAAATTTTCTTCAACATTTAAATGAGACATACCAGTCAAATGTTTGTGATCATCATAGGAGAAATTACCAAAGGGTTGAGAATTTGCAAACCTCGATATTTGTGTTTGCTTCCCCTTGCCTTTGTCTATTTTCGCATACTCCACAAAGTGTGCGGACTTAAGATGCCTTGTCAGACTTCCGTATCCGCCAGAAGTTCTCAAGCTATACTCTTTGTTGCAATGATTGCAACTTGCGTACCATTTATCGGTATTTTTGTCTTTCCTTTTTGTAAAATTGTTTTCAATAATAGGAGATTTAGATTTCTTACCAATTTGGGATGAAACCCCCTCGTCCTCCAACTCTTGCTCATCATCCGGGGTGCCGTCGCCCCCCCGCCCTTCGTCCTCCTCCGCATCCTCATCCTCGAGCTTATCTTCGTCAATGGTTGTCGGGAATTGTTGTTCTTGTGCAAAGCGTGGATCATTTTGGGACAATAGGTTTTGTAGTTGCTTGTCGGACATCGCCATATCATCTTTCCGTTGGTAATCCGTTTCAAAATCATCTCGACTTTGAAAAGAAGACTCGGCCCGCGCTTTACCTTTGCCTTTGCGTGAAGTAGGACGAGTCGCCGCAATCTCCCTCTTGCGGTTGCATTGGAGATTACCCATATCTACAGAATGTCTACCACAGTCCATCTTTAAAATTGAACAAATATTAAATGATATCAAATATTTTATATGAGTACAATAGTAATAATAAAATGTGACTAAGAAAACTATAGCAAATTCGAACTAAAATATGAGTATATCAAATGAAACAATTTGTTTTCCTTGAAAAAAAATCGAACTACTTCTAATTAATACTTTAATGAGAAATGTAGCAATTAACTAATATTAATATGAGAAATGTAACAATTAACTAGTTTAACTAATATTAATATGACAAATGTAACAATTAACTAGTTTAACTAATATTAATATGACAAATGTAAAAATTAACTAGTTTTTTTTACTTTAATGAGAAATGTAGCAATTAACTAATATTAATATGACAAATGTAACAATTAACTAGTTTAACTAATATTAATATGACAAATGTAAAAATTAACTAGTTTTTTTACTTTAATGAGAAATGTAACAATTAACTAATATTAATATGACAAATGTAACAATTAACTAGTTTAACTAATATTAATATGACAAATATAAAAATTAACTAGTTTTTTTTTTACTTTAATGAGAAATGTAGCAATTAACTAATATTAATATGAAAAATGTAACAATTAACTAGTTTAACTAATATTAATATGACAAATGTAAAAATTAACTAGTTTTTTTTTACTTTAATGAGAAATGTATCAATTAACTAAGTAACTAGTTTAACTAATATTAAATGAAAAATGATGTGTAACAAGTAACTAATTTTTTTTTCTTTAAACAGAAATGTAGAGAAATGTAACAATTAACTTATTTAATAGATAAATAAGAAGTCTAACAATTAACTACTTTTATAAAATGTATGAATGTGTATAAGTATATATAGTTTATATATATATAATGTGTAAATGTATTATAAGTAATATATAATATAATGTTTATAGTATATAATATATAAGTATATTACTATAAGATGAGTAATACACTTATACTTAATACTTTAATATATATATATATATATATATATATATATAAGTATATATTAACTAAATGTAATATAATATGTAAATATAAGTAAATAACAATAGTATGGATAATAACTAAATATCAAGTAAATATGAATGTACATATGTATATATAGTATATATAATGTGTAAATATATTATAAGTAATATATAATATAATGTTTATAGTATATAATATATAAGTATATTACTATAAGATGAGTAATACACTTATACTTAATACTTTAATATATATATATACATATATATATATAAGTATATATTAACTAAATGTAATATGTAAATATAAGTATATACAGTATGTATAATGTGTAAAGAATTATAATATGAATGTGTATAAGTATATATAAGTATATATTATAAGTAGATAATTAATATATAAGTAGATATAATAATTATATAAATTATATATATATGTAGAAAGAATTTGGAGAAGATGAAGAATGAAGACGATTGAATATGAGAGATTGAGAGAATAGAGAATTAAAGAGTAGGAAGAGTTGTAGAAGAAGAGGTGTAAAAAATGTATAGAAAATATGAGTATAAATAGTTTTTTTTTTGTATACCCCACCCCCACCCCCCCACCCCAAACCCCCCTCATATGCCCCCAACAGCTATAGAGCCGTTTGGGAACAGTCCCAACGGCTATAGAGCCTTTAATTATTTATTTTTTTTTTTAAAAAAAATATGGCCGTTGTGGCCCGGACCGGGCCCGGCCGGGCCGGTTCACTTATATGCAGGTCCGAGCCCGGACCGCTATCAGACCGGGTCGGGTGGCCCGAACCGGCACCCAGGCCGGTTACCGGGCCGGGCCGGGCCGGGTACAAACAGTACCGGTCCGGGCCGGGTACAAACAGTACCGGTCCGGGCCGGTTGGCCCGACCCGAGTCCACTCCTAATCAGGGATGTCTCTGCACGAAAGTGCCATTGTCTTTGCAGGAAAGGCGGCTTAACCTCTGCTAGGGTTCTTCAATCGCTGGAGTTCGTCGTTAGAGAGAGATACAAGTTGAATATGAGAGGGTTGCATATTTTTAGTAAGTGGAAAATGTGGAGGAAACCCGATCAATGAGTAAAATTATGTAAAGCTCACGCTGGAGAAGGCTGAATTTCGTATTATTAATTAATTTTAATTTAATACGGAGTATCACTTTGTGTGTTGATACAATAATGTCATGACATACTGATACATGAATGTTAAAAATCTGACAGTGACACTATTTTCCAAAAAGTGTCAAAAATGTTACTATAAGACAGTTTTCTAGTAGTGTTTATTTGAGATGATTTCTTAAAGTAATTGTGATATTTTATGAAGTGAAACATCAAAACATACATGGAGTACATACCAACTTTTATATGGAGTAGAATATTCTTCATTTTTCTATTAACTAATCGTTAATCGATTAAATAATAACTTATCATTAACCGAAAAACTGAATAATCAACATTTTCTTAATGTGTGATAACGGATGATTAACACCGATTTCTTTGATCGATTCAGATATGAGATTTTAGTTTTATCGATTTTATGGATTCTTGGTGTAGACTGTAGACACTATTTGTACACCAATAACAATAGGATAATCAAAATATAAATAATGGGCAAGCAAATAAAGGGAGGGAGTAACGATAATAACAGTCTTTCATGGGTCAGCAGATTACCTAATTCAGGGCCCCACGTGGTCCCTCTCAGCTGCTGCAAACAATCCAAAAGGTTAAGAATGAAATGAAAATAAAAAATAAAAATGATGATCTTATTTAATTTGACGACAGCATGGCCCACTCGAAGGGCTGACCAGTCTTCCCCCCCCCCTTTTGCGAGCCTATAAATGCCTCCGCTCTACTCTGTTCCATCCCAACTCCTTAATCCGTATTTTTTTTTCAAAGATCTTCGATTTCAGCTGCCTAGAATACATACACAATTCTTTTTTCCTCATTTCATATTATATAAATATATTGATATATCGAAAATGATGCATATATGCAGTAGCGGGTGTCCTTGCGTTATGTGCAATAACCAATACTATCAGAGCGACGACTACTCATTCTCCTCCGTGCCGCCGCCGCCGGCAAATGATCACCACCACCAGTACTATTATGAAGAAGAATCTTCGGCGGCCGCAGATTATGGGGACCACACTACTTCCATGTACTCTTATTCATCTTCCTCTGTGGATTGTACCCTTTCGCTGGGAACGCCTTCCACTCGTCTCTCCGGCGGTGAGAGGGCGCCGCCCACAGAATCCCGCCGCAAATCCTCCGGCCGCGGCGCCTCTTCCTCTGACCGCCGCTGCGCTAACTGTGACACCACTTCCACTCCCCTCTGGAGAAATGGACCCCGAGGCCCTAAGGTAACGAATTGTCTTAGATTAATGGGGAATTTGATTTTGCACCCCATTTTAAAAAAACTTTGATTTTGCATCCTATTTCAATTCAAAATCCTTTGACTTTGCACCTCATTTAGAAAATGGGGTGTAAAAGTCCAATATCACCTAAAAATGAGATGCAAAGTCAAATTCTCCCTTAATTAAAATCTTTTATTTTGGATCATATATAATATTACACTCCCAACTCCCAAGTTAATTATTAAGTTTACTTTTGACTTCATGGTCTTCAAAGCCAGTATATACCTTTTCCTTTTATACGTAGTATATAGTAATTTAACATTTCGATATATGTAGTACCCGAAGTATATATTTACAATTTTTTTTTTTTTTCATTCTTATAATTAAGACAACATAAACTTTGAGTAATTGACATGTAAATAGTTGTTTCTCAAAGTCAAAACAAAAACTTAATTGTAGGATGGAGGTAATCTCATCCCGACTATTAGGTTCATATTTTGACTTTAATGATCCTATTCGGGACGTTGGACCATTGACAATGTATTCGGTTGTTAAATAATTGCAACATGTTAAAATTTACACTTTTATTTATTGCTGCATGTATATGATTTTTATTTTTTGAAAAATATTATTATATACGGAGTATTAATGGTCAAAGTTACATGTTGACAAAAGAAAAAATTAAAATGTCGCAACTATCCGTAATAAATTTATGACTTGATTTGCTATGCAGACGCTATGCAACGCTTGTGGAATCCGGTATAAGAAAGAGGAGAGGAGAGCGAGCGTTGCGGCAGCAAACAACGGCGGAGGCGGGAGCCGGGGAATAGATGACATGATGCACCAGAGCTCAACGTCATGGGCCCACCACTCGGAGATGGCGCCGCCGGCATACAACAGCTATTCCTCATCAGCAGCCGCATATGGGAGCGGCGACATGGGTTATATGGACGACGAGGACCGTGATTCGGCGTTCCTTTCATGGCGTCTCAACGTCCACTGCTCGTAATAATAAATGCATGCATGGATATGGAAGCTTCTTTGCTGCAACCTCCATCATCAACCACCTGCTTAATTCGATCATTGGTTCTTGACAATTAAGTAAAGAAGAAGAAGATGAATGATGGGAACTAATTATGAAAATTTAATTTGTTGTTGTAGGCAGGGCAGGATGAGTAATTTAAATACGTAGCAAAGCTGGTTTGTAACACGTTCAACATGTTCTACAGAACAGGGCCTCCCGATTTATGGGGCCCCAATTTTTTTTACAAATATTAGCATTACATAGTAATATCTTCTGTTCTTTAATTCTTGCAACATTTTGACTTTCACGTTTGCCAATGCATAACTTCGACTGTAATTATATTCAATTATGTATTAGTAAACATTATAGAAAGTTGATATTTTGGAAATTCACATTGATAGAAATTTAGTAACATTTTATACGTAATAATATGATTGTGTATATTAGCAGAAAATCGTGGTCAAAGTAAGATTTGTGAATAGTGCAAAAATCACAATGTTGCAAGAATTAAAGAACGGAGGAAGTATGTACTAATAATATAAATAAATTCCAATCAATATTGAGTGATGAGCTGTGTTGCTCTAAATCAAGTATTAAGTGATTTTTTAGAATTTTTATTACATTATTTGATGAGTATTCGATTGATTTTATTTAGATTGAGTTTTTTATATATATTAATATATGGATTTCGGATTTTACATTTGGAGCGAGCCAGCCAGCGGAGTTTAGTGATCGAAATTGTGAGTTGAAATTGTTTTGTTTTTGTTGATTGGTTTTGTGATTTTGGAACGGAATGACGATGCAGATCGAGATCGAGAATGAGGGATGTTGTTTTTGGCGTGTAGTCATCCACTTTTTCTTTCTTTTATTATTGATTTGAGTCTAATCTGAGCGAGAATTGAATGGATAATAATAAAGCACAGCAAAGCAAAGCGAAATAAAAAGAAAAGATAGAAAACCGAATTAAAAATGAGATCGCGAATGGAATAGGAAAACATGCAATGGATGATGCCCACCAAAGCAACATATGCTTAGATCGAGACCCATCTTTGACTCACATGGAAACTTGGAATACAAAAAAGAGCAAAAGTTATTCAGGCCAGCCCTTGCTGAATTTCTGAACTGCACATTATACCATCCACCTTGTTTTGAATCTTAATCAAAAGCATTAAGCATGCACTATGTGTATAAATAATGTCGCACAATCAAAACTCATTCCAATCAAGAAGTTGGTTTTTAATCACCGACGGAGCCACCTTAATCCAAAAGTGTTCACACGAATGCCTAAAATTTTGAAAAACGTACTGTCCTTCATTCAATTCTTTAATAGTTGTAACAGTTAGACTTTCACGTTAACCAATGCACAACTTTGACAGTGATTATATTTAATTATGTATAAGTAAACATTATAAAAAGTTAACATCTTGGAAATTCACATTTAAAGAAATTTAATGACACTTTATACACAATAATTTCATTATACTACATATATATTAGTAAAAAATTGTAGTCAAAGTAAGGTGACATGTGTGAATAGTGCAAAAATCACAATGTTGCAACTATTATAAAACGGAGGAACTATATGTAATCCCCGTGTTTTCAAATTTGTAAATGACACCCCTCTATTGTCCAAATTGTTGTAAATGTGGACATTTGAGGGGGTGAAATGCACAATGTGGGTGATAACTATATTTATAGAAATTTGGACAATTGAGAGATTACATTTACACACTTGGGAACACAAGGATTGCATTTCAATTATGGTTCAACTATTTGAGGAAGAAGTAATGTATTTTTCAAAAAAGAGTAATACATGAGTTAAGTTTGTGCTTTTCATAACTTAGCATATGTATAGTAAAAATAGTTCTAAGGGAGAATATGTAACAAGTGAATGAGTTGGCCTAGTGGTTTGGGACTTATGTTGTGTATTTTAGGTCATGGGTTCAATCCCCCCACCCACGTTTTTTATAACATTTTTTAGCACACATATACTCCCTCCGTCCCAAAAACAACTTCTCACTTTCCTTAAATGGATGTCCCAAAATTAACTTCACACTTCAATACTTTCCTTATTTGGCAAATTATCTACATCAAAAAAGTGATAAATAGTGTCAAACAGTTTTTAAACAGTGCCGAACAGTGTTTAAACAGTGCCAAACAGTGTTTAAACAGTGCAAAACAGTGCACTCTACAGTAAAGTCAAATTTATTTTCTAAAAGTGTGTGAAAGTCCAACTGGGAAGTTGTTTTCGGGACGGAGGGAGTATTAGATTAGATGATGATATGGGAGAGACAATGGATGACGTGGAATAAGTGATGTGGCGGTCTTTCTGATCAGACATAGGTGGACATGGCAATTGTGTTGACATGGCGGATGACGAAGCAAAAGTATCCTTATTTGGGAAATAAGTTTAGAACTACCTCGTTTTGGGAAATAAGATTGAAAACTACCCTTGTTCGGGAAAAAACTCGTGAAAGGAGTGATAGTAACGATTCTACACTTTTATTGAATCTTAGCTTCATTCACATACCATCACACCTTTACACATCATCTAATCCACAAATGCTCAACTCATATATAGAAGCAGCAAGGACGTAAGGTATGGTATACCTCACCGCAAAACTTCGTGTAGTTCTTAAACCAACAAAAATATGTTTGCCACTTTTAGTGAAAAAATTATGGTTCTAATTAATTGTCTCTTCTCTGCACAAAGCTCAACAACACAATTTTTATTTTATTAATCTGCATACAAGTCAAACTTGACAAATTTTTAAGGGATGTAGGGTGTATTAAATAATGATTTTGAGCATCCAAGACACAATTAGAAGGTCAAATGCCAAATCTTGCTAGCATACTAAACATAGAAAAAAAGCTCGAATAACACATAATCCACTCAATTTTGACATAATTAAACTGGGAGGAAGGAACCTCAGCCACTCATCACACCATTAAGAAAATATCTTTTGTACATTTATATATGAAAATTTTTACCTTATAAATAAACTCCTCGATCACAGAATAAGCCATGATAGATATGGGTAAACGAAAAATGTGTACCAAGGGTTTATTGAGCAAATAAAGGCCGGGAGGGCCTAATAATAACAACAGTCTTTCATGGGTCAACAGATCACCCAAAACAGGGCCCCACGCTGTCCCTCTCAGCTGCTGCAAAAGGTGAAGAATAACAAAAAATAAAAAACGGAAAATGATGTTCTTATTTAATTTGACGACAGCGTGGCCCACTCGAAGAGCTGACCAGTCCTTTTGTGAGCCTATAAAATGCCCCCGCCCAAACTCTGTTCCATCCCAACTCCTTGATCCGTATGTATTTTTTTTTCTTTATTCTTACTCTCACTCTTCAAATTAAATCTTGGATTCAGCTAGCTAGCTAGAATACAAACATAATTGTTTTCAATTCCTTTTTCTCCCATCAAATCAATTCATCTCATATATTATACGTATAAAAAAAGGGATATATATATCGAAAATGATGCATATATGCAGTAGCGGGTGCCCTTGTGGTATGTACAATAACCAATACTATCAGAGCGACGACTACTCATTCTCCTCCGCGCCCCCGCCGCCGGCAAATGATCACCACCACCAGTACTATTATGAAGAAGAATCTGCGGCGGCCGCAGGTTACGGCGGCGACCACACTACTTCCATGTATTCTTATTCTTCCTCCTCTGTGGATTGCACCCTTTCTCTGGGAACGCCTTCCACCCGTCTCTGCGGCGGTGAGAGGGCGCCGCCCACAGAATCCCGCCGCAAATCCTCCGGCCGCGGCGCCTCTTCCTCTGACCGCCGCTGCGCTAACTGCGACACCACCTCCACTCCCCTCTGGAGAAATGGACCCCGAGGCCCTAAGGTAATTAATTAATTAATTAATTGTTATCTTTCATTCTTTATTTTGGATCATAATATTATTTTGGATCCCACTGAGTCCCAAGTTAACTTCACTTTTTGACTTCATGGTCTTCAAAGCCGATCGATATTTAATACTACCAAGTATATACCTTTGCTTTTTTCAGGGTCTATCCTTGTAAATTCCATGTGTAATAATTTAACATTTCGATATGTGTAGTATGTACACACAAAAATATTTTCATTCTTATAATTATGACAATATAATTTTTGAGTAATTGACAGACATGTAGGTATTCAATTCATGTAAATATATAATAATTGTTTCTCAAAGTTAAAACACAAACTTAATTGTAGGACGGAGGTAATATATATATATATAATATCATTCCCACAATTAGGTTCATATTTTGACTTTAATGATCCTATTCAGGACGTTTGACTGTTGATATTTGAAATAAATGAATTTAAAAAAACTCATACAAATTAATATTTCAACAATGTACTACTCCATTTACATAATTGGCAACACATTGAATTTTACATTTTGTTTATTGATGTATATAAGAATTCTATTTTCTGAAAAAATATTGTAAAAATTTTCTCATTATATTTTTTTTTACTAATGAGGAATGTCTTATACGAATGGTCAAAGTTACACGTTGACAAGAGTGCATGAATATTGAAACGTTGCAACTAATAAATATGACTTGATTTGCTATGCAGTCGCTATGCAACGCCTGTGGAATCCGGTATAAGAAAGAGGAGAGGAGAGCGAGCGCTGCGGCAGCAGCGTCGGCAAACAACGGCGGAGGCGGGAGTCGGGGAATAGACGACATGATGCACCAAAGCTCAACGTCATGGGCCCACCACTCGGAAATGGCACCGCCGGCGTACAGCAGCTACTCTTCATCAGCAGCCGCAT